TTTTTTTCCAAAATATTTTTTAAAGCCATCCAAATCTTGAAAACTTTAAAAACTATATGCACTCCGGGCAAAGCTCGGTCAACCTGGTACTTTATATGAATATTGATAGTTATTTTAAATAAAATATTTTTTGCTAAATTTGAATGAACTTTCATAAAGTCGCCCATTAGGCTTTTCTGCTGCTGGTTAAGCTTATTTAGGTGTCTCCCAAGATTAAATAAAATTTCGTTATTTTAATATTACACACATATATTATTTGTATAGATTTAAATTTTACTTAAATTTTTCCCTTTGTACTTTTTACTTCGCGCGTACGTATGGCCGTTTGCAATCGCATGAAAATGTTTGACGTTTACCCTATTTGGGGTACATTCACGGAATGCATAATACCAAGTTACGATAGCAGGGATACGATCACGTCTCGTTAATACCAAATCAATGTTTTTAAGAATCGAGTAATCAGTTCACGGCACAGATAATCTTATTTCCCCACCCCCTCCCTCGGTTCATAATGTTAGAATGTTTGGCAAGGGAGACAAGGGAGAAAAAAGATCAAATGGTGGTTTCTGTCGTAAGTCGAAAGTCGAAAGTTGTTCGACCATCGACGACCGTGTCGATCGTATCGATATGTTTGCCAGCCCTATGTTCACGTAAACTCGAAAATTCGAAAAATTATCGAATTTTATAATCTATGCATCCACACACACACATACGCATGTATGTACATATACATATGTAGTAAGTAAGCAACTCAAAGCAACAATAAATTGAAAACTAAGAATCGTCCGCTATCTGCCATAGGCATTCAAAGTAGTACAGCGAGATTTGCTTTACGTGAGCAAAATCGTCTAAAAGTAAGCTAAATGCGGCATAAGAGCACAGTTTTTTTTAACTCGCTTGGGCCACACAAATGTATCGCACTTGTAAAAAAAATCGGTAATAACAATAAAAAAAAGAAAATCAGTATACAACTCTGCTTAAATTCAAAATACTCACACCCGCTTTATATATATGTATGTATGACCTATATATGTACTTATTGTATCACCTAACGATTTATACTGTAAATGAACCGTATATTGTAGCGTAGTGGAAGAAATCTGTAGAAACCCCTCACACACTCTGTAAACGTACTCATGAGATACTAACGCATGTATGTATGCAGTTGAACAGCTGTTGAGGTATCTAGTTTTTGAACTGAATGGATCCACAATAGAAGCAAAGCAAAGATTATAGATAATTACAAATCGTAGTAGTTGAACAGAAAAATCATAAACTATTTTTGTAAGACGATGTGATAGCAATAGAGAAGCGTAATTAAAGTACACTTAAACACAAATGAGCACATACATACATACATACCTACATACTACATGATTATGATACATGCATATGTATTTGGTATATTCACAATAATGCGTACAGGCGTAGATATACATATATGTATGTGTAGTGCGTACATAATTAGACATTTAAGTGCAATATGCTCCTTCGATTGTTTTAACATTTCGTATTGATTTTTGTTTATTTTTAAGCTTTGATAATCTCGACGATACTAACAAATTTTTGCAATATCTGTTCAGCCAAAATATAGTGCTGAATGTTTGTAATACCAAATACATACATACATCCATACATACATACGTAAAATATACATGCATGCATTATCGTTACTATCTATGCATTAAAGCTTTATTTTTTATATAAAAAATCATGAAATAACATCAAAATTTAAACAATTCACATCGTGTTCCTTTATTTCCGTATTTAATTCAGAAATTCATAATTTTCGAAATTATGTATGTACATGCATATTTTCCTTAAGATCATAATCACTATTATTTACATATACAGTTACACATATACATACATACATACGTCTATATTGAATGTTTCTGCTTGTTATTGATACTCAAAACTAATAAGAAATGACAAAATAAAGAAAAGCAAAATTGCAAACTATAGAGAAATCGGAATATTTAACTATATAATGCAAATGGTTACCTAATTGTTAACTACAATACAACATACCGTAAATACATACATATGTAAACTGACAATGCAAGCAACAGTGGTAGTACACAAATTATAATTGTAATAGCAATCAAATGTATAACTTTTGTTGGCCGCTTTTTACAAATATGTATACACTTGTATTTATAAAAATGTATGTAATTCACATGAAATTATGCAAATCATATACATATGTATGTATGTACACACAACAATGCCGCTATATAGTAGAAGAACTCTTAAAAAAACCAAAAGATACATATTTATGTAAAAAAAAAAAACTTATTTATTTACATACATACATACATACATACATATGTACATTTGAAGTTCTACTGCAAATTCCAAACAGAAGTAAATAAAGTCCAAACCGAGTAACATATAAAACCGAAATCGTAATTGGCTTTAGCTCTTTTATTTGGCTAATATTTGAATCCTGCTTCACTGGCTCATTGATTGGAAAAAGACAGGGCTCGAATCGTTACATGCATGCTCTATAGTCCCACAACTTTTTATAAAAAATTGTACAAAAAACTTTATGAGAAATTCGCGCTTGAAGCTTTTAAGACAAAAATACACCGGTCGTACGACCTTTTTACAATCCAAATATCGCCCAACTCCCAGCAGCCACGACTCACTTTTCACATTTTTCTGAATTTTTGTGCGCAACTTTCAACAATCGGGTAAGTTTACTACGGCCAGAAAAGACAAAAATATTCTTTAATACCATAACTTTCATTATTTATTCTCATGGCAACTTCAAATTTCTTTCAAATGAAATACCTTTGAATAAATACCTAAATCTAGAAACATTTGTTTTCAACAAACAATATGGCAACCCTATTAACCCTGCAGTAGTCGCGTATGCGAGCGAGTCTTACGCGATCGATCGCCCTAAATTTTTTTTCGGCAATGTGCATCGAGCAAAACCATCTGAAATAACAAGCGCCCATAAGCGGTAAGTAAGCTGCCGATCAGAAAATTCTCTCGTTTTCAGTTTTTATTTTGTTGTGCTCGCGTTATTCTTCGCCCGCGCAAATAATCATCCTTGCCGTTTGCCGCCCTGTTCGTCGACATTCTCTGCAATTCTGGGCGCCTAATATTTTTGCGTTGGCTTA